TGCCCATACTTAACTGAAAGAGAGGCTAGGAAATGAAGTTTATCTGTATGGACAAGAAGTGATGGACATTGACTCTGATGTCTTATCTAGCAGTCATTACTTGCTTGGGTGTTTCCCATCACCACTACCTCACACAATCTCTGAAGTGGTTAACAAAAAAATATATCCTCAGATTGTCCTCACTCAATTCTGAAAATCCTAAATGGGAACCATGCTACATAAATGTTAGTAAAACCAGAAATTCTATGGTTTGGGTGATTTTCTTCCCTCAAGTTTTCATGTTAATGTCTGATTTTGTATACCTGGAGATGTGTGTGTGTGTGTGTGTGTGTGTGTGTGTGTGTGTGTGTGTATGTGTGTGTATCCATGAGGATATACAGCAGTATTACCTGATCAATTTTCTTTAGCAATCTAACACTTTAGGGCATTAGGAAAATCTATGAAATAACCTAAATATTAATATACTTAAATGGTAGGGAGAGGAAATGATGGAGAAATTGCTGTTAATTTGGCATCACTAGCAACTGCTTTTATGTATAGGTTGTCCAACTTCCTTGTTGCCAGAAGACACTGTGGATGGAGAAAGAAGCCAGGGAGTGAATGACTATTAATTAAACTATATGAAAATCTATTATAGAAAACATGGTTACACTTTAAACAATTTTATTCTGACACTTCAGTGATTCTACTACATTGATTTCTTCATGAGACAATTAAGGAATAGTTTAAGTACTACAAAAATCCAGGACAATCTCTGCTTCTTCTACATGAAGAAGAAACTAGAGATTTTCTTAGTTTCCAATAAAATATCCCAATTGACCAGAAAGAAAATAAATTGAAGGAAAAAAGTATCTTAAAGGGGGTGGGCTTAATGTCAACTCTAAGTGGAACATCACTAGAAGGTAGAAAATTCAAGCTTTCTTAATAAGCTCTCTGGCCAGTTGATATATATATGAAAGTTATAAAATAGATATAGATTGAAACTCTAGGGTCAAATGAAGGGAATGGAATGGAATGAAAAATCAAATTGCTATACATATACTTTGATTACACTATATCAATTTCTGACCAAAGAACTGCATACATACCACTTGATTCTATGTACATAAAATTCTAGAAATTGCAAACTGATCTGTTTTCTTTAGCAACCTAAAATTTTAGGTCATTGGGAAAATCTATGAAATAACTTATGAAATAACATTAGTATACTTAAATGGTGGAGGGAAAGGAAATGATAGAGAAATAAATCAAAGTTACAAACAAAACAAAATTAAAAAGTTTGAGTCTCCCATTAAGCCCCCCCCCCTTTAAATCCACCCCCCTGCTTTATGTACAGGTTGCCCAACCTCCTTGTTGCCAGAAGATAAGTAAACTAATCTATAGCAACAGAAAGCAGACCAGTAGTATCCGGGAGAGAGAGGTGAGCAGAGGGGGAATTATAGAGAGGCTGAGGAAATTCTTGGAGATTTCATCAGCTTTATTTGATCCTTTCCAATCTGAGTTGTTTTATCTTACCTTCTTCCTGATTTCACTGCCAAAACTTCTAATCAGGCTTGACTAAAGGTTTATCAATTTTACGGATTCCAAAGAACCAGGTTTTGGTTTCACTGATACTCTCAATTGATTTTCTGATTTCCATTTATTGTTTTCTATTTCTTTCTTATTTCCTTTCTTTCGCTTCTTTGGGTTTAATTTGCTTTTCTAGTTTCTTATGGGAGAAACTGAGATCATTTTATAATATAGGAATTTTGTTTCTAAATTTCCTCCATACATGGTATTGCCTTAGAATGCCATAAAATCTGATATGGCTTGTTTTTATTTTCATTCAATTCAAAATGCTTTCTAACTTCACCATAGGTTCCTTTTTTAATCAACAGGTTATTTAGAAGCATGTTATTTTCTCCTCAAACATTTGTGGATTTTCCAGATAGCTGTCAGTTATTGATTTCTCATTTAATTCCACTGTGGTCCAAGAACATCCTTTGCATGACTTGAATTATTTAAAGTTTATCAACACATATTTTATGGCTTAGAAAAAAGGTTTACAAGCTTTCTGTAAAGCTTCAGTTTTCTATAAAGGTAAATTTAAGCTTTGTGGGCCACATGTAATATTTTTCACATATTTTCTTTTTTAAAGAATTTTTTAAAATGTGAAAAACATTCTTAGTTCATAGACCATACAAAAACAGGCCAGTTGATATATATATATATATATATATATATATATATATATATATATATATGGTCTCTCTATATATATGGTCTATATAGGTATGTTTCACATATACACTTTGAAGAGAATGTGTATTCTATTGTTAATGGAGTATTCTAGAAAAGTCAAATAAGTGACATTGGTTGTAGTGTAGAGTTTAACTTGCTAAGTTTCTACTTGTTCTGGTAATTATTAAAAGAAGGGTATCCAAATCTCTCACTATAGTTGAAAATTTGTGTGAGAATTTGTTTCTCCTTGTAGTTCTATCAATTTTTGCTTCATATATTTCAAAGCTATATTATTTGGGATAGGAATACTTAAGATTATTATATCTTCCCCATTAACTTGCCACTTTATTAATAAGAAATTATCTTTATCCCTGGAAATACTCTTTGCTTTGAAACTTACTTTATTTCTTGTTAATATAGATGTACCCTTTCACTTTTAACTAATGCTAGCACTGGTAAAGTATATCTTTTTCTATCCTTTCACCCTTACTGTTCTTGTGTCTTTCTATGCAAAATGTGTTTCTTATTGATAATAGCTAGTTGGGTCTAGTTTTTAATATAATCTGACAGTCTTTGCCTTTTAAACTTTTTAATTTTGTTTTGTTTTGTATGTAATGTTAGGGGTTGAACTTGGAATCTCACTTAGCAATACCCCTAGTCTAGTATTTGCCTTTAAAATGGATGTTTAAATTATTTATATTTAATGTGATTATTGATATGACTAGATTTAAATTTGTCTTCTTGCTATTTTCTTTTTGTTTCATCTGTTCTTTGTCCCTTTCCCTCTCTTTCTGCCTTCATTAGAGTGAGTAATTTTTTATGTTTCTGTTTTACCTCCTTTGTTGGCTTGTTAGCTATAACCATTTTGTTTTTCTACYGGGTGCTACAGGGTTTACTGAATACAGCTTTAACTTACCAAAGTCTACCATCAAATGATAATACACCACATCACATACGCCAAAAGAACCTTACAACCTCATTCTTCCACTTCTCCCCTCCTTGCCTTTCAACTATTGTCGTATATTTTATACTTGTGTTACAAATTCAATAATACATTGTTATCATTTTGTTTAGATTGTTGATTACCTTAAAGAATTAATTCTGATTAATTTTAGTAGAAATTCTTATATTTGCCCATGTATTTATGATTTCCAGTGCTCTTTATTCCTTTGTGTGGCTCTGTATAATTTCATGTGGTATCATTTTCCTTCTCTCTCATGGACTTCCTATAGCATGTCTCATGGTATGGCCTGATAGTAAAGATATCTGAGTTTTTATATATCTGAAAACATTTTACTTTGTCTTTGTTTTTGAATGATATTTCACTGAGTATAGAATTCTGGGTTAATAATTTTTTCTTTCAGTATTTCCACTGTCTTTTCACTTGTAATGTTTCTGATGAGAAATCTGTCATCCTTCTTTTTGGTTCTCTATAACATAAATATTTTCTCTGGCTACTTTCAAGATTTTCTCTGTATCACTGGTTTTAAACAATTTGATTATATTGCCTTGGTTTAGTTTTGTTCTTGTTGTTGAGCTTGGATCTGTGGGTTAATAGTTTTCAACAAATTTGAAGTTTTTGGATTATTTTTTCAAATATCTCTTCCACCTCTGACTCTCCTCTCCTTTGGTAACTCTAATTATATAGATACTAAATCTCTGGAATTATAATCTATAAGTCTATCCCAAATGACTTTCTTATCATTTTTTAAAATTCTTTTTCTCTATTTATTTTGAATAGCTTCTTTGGTTATGCCTTCAAGATTACTAATCATTTTTTTTCTGACCTAATTATCCAAGAATCCCATTTAGTGAATTTTTCATCAGATATTATAGCTTTTATTCCTAGAATTGAAACTTGAGTTCTAAAAATGTCTTCCTTGTCTTTGTTTTTCAGACCTATAGAATACTATTACAATAATGTTTAATGCTCTTGTCCACTAGTTCTAATATCTGTGTCCATTTAAGTCCACTTTCAGTTCATTCATTATTCTTGTCATTATGAGTCATTTTCTGGCTTGCATGCCTGGTAAGCTTTAAGTGGATGTGAGGGATTGAGAATTTTACCATGTTGGTTGTTGGAGATTCTTTGTTCCTACAAATATTTCTGGGTTTTGTTCTGGGATGCAGTGATATTACTCAGAGAAGTTTGTTTCTTGGTCTTACTCTTAGGATTTGTTATGGAGTGCTCAGTTTATAGCTCATTGTTCAAAGAAAAGTACTTTAGGTAATCTTTTAAGCTTAGGATTTATAACTGCAAAAGACTTCCTCAGTGACTTTTGAAATATACTAATCTTTTTTTCCAATGACAAAAAAATGAAGATAAACAGCCAGGTTTTGTAGCACATGCCTGTAATCCCAGCAGCTCGGGAGGCTGAGACAGGAAGATCTTGAGTTCAAAGTTAGCCTTAGCAAAAGCAAGGTGCTAAGCAACTCAGTGAGATCCTGTCTCTAAAAATACAAAATAGGCCTGGGGATGTGGCTCAGTGGTCCAGTGCCTCTGATTTCAATCCCTGGTACCAAATAAAAATAAAAATTAAAAATTGAAGATAATAATTTCAGAAGAAACATTCATTTCCATTTAAAATTGCAAAACATCCTGAAAGAAAAAGAGTGGGAGGGAGAGGAATTGAGGACAGTGAGCATTCTAGAAATTCCTTTTGTGTGAAGGTGAATTTTGATTAAGAATTAGTCTATAACATATCAATGCATTTACTTCTAAAGACAGTGGTTAAAATCATAGATATTAGGGATGAACATACTTGAATACATACTGGATTCCTCGACATATTTTAACCCAACTTGTTTAAGCTTCAGTTTTCTCATCTGTAAAATGGCATGTTATTTTACAAAGTAATCTAGAAGAGAGAAAACTGTTAATTCCACCAAGTTAAAATATATGGAGAAGTTTTAATATTCCCTGATATCTGACTAAACTACACATTTAAATTGGATATCTTCCACTTTCTTATCTCCTGCACAATTTTAAGTGGTTTAAAATAAATCAGTTGAAATATTCACAATTTTAAAAACACATTCATAATGAGACTACTTAATTCAAAAAAACTTATAAGCTTGTTTATAATCCTTGCTTAGCTCCTAGTAATATAGATATTACTTGGCCTGTATCTGCTTATTATCACTTTAATTCTAGAGCTCTGTGATTTTTCAACTGAATATTAAGGACAATTCTATCCCAGATAGAGTCCAATTCTAAATTAATTCATGTAAATTCTTTATGTACAACAACCAGACTGTTGAATAGGAGCAATTCTTTTTTGAGGGCGTGGGAGTAGGTACCAGGAATTAAACTCAGGGGCACTGGACCACTGAGCCACATTCCCCAGCCCTGTTTTGTATTTATTTAGAGACAGGTTCTCACTGAATTGTTAGCACCTTGCTTTTGCTGAGGCTGGCTTTGATTTTGCAATCCTCCTGTCTCAGTCTCCCAAGCCATTGGTATTACAGGGGTGAGCCACCACACCCCGCTTTTGAACCTTTTAAAATATTAGCTTTTAATGGCCCTGTCCTTTACAAGATGATACAAAAGTCATGTGAATTTCTTTTTACTCTACCAAACATTTGTTTTAACATTATTACAGAGTAATAATCTTAGTTGTGCCTAGTAATTAGAACTAAAAATTTACCTCACAGAATAAAATAGGATGACTCTATGCTTAGTCCCATGAGTTTTAGCTGTTTTAAAAATAAAACTCTTTAATTTGTTTAATATTTCAGAATACTACTAGATAGATATCCTCAAGAATTAGAAATCAGAAATTTCTGCATTTTTGTGATCTTATTCTTTCTTCTACCAATGAATTCTTCATTTAGGTTAAAAAGTACATATTTGCCTATTTTTCATTCTAGGCCTTCTCATTTTGCCAGCAGCCTCTATCATGTCTTCTATCTTTTTCTTTCTAAAATTATGCTCTTCTGAGCTCTGTGCCTGTGTGCTAAGTAAAAGAGACAAAATTCTAATGTTCTACACTGTTTCTTGGGGAGTTCCCAAATGCTCTATTTGTTTATTTTTTTTTTTACTGTAGTAAGAATATGTAACAAGAGATCTACCCTCTTACCCCATTTTTAAGTATATTAATATATTCTTAACATGCTAATTGTTAGAACTAGGGTGCTGAAAGGAAGGCAAGAGGGAGGCAAAGAAAAATAAACTGACCTTAGGATGGTGTGAAGTGGTTTGTGGAACCAGGAAGAAGTACATTATGTCTTTTCATTTCCTTTTGGTGTAAGATCTTCAACTGGGAGTTAAGAAACTCAAATTTTAGTTCCAGTTTTGCCACTATTCATGAATGTAGTCTCCAATCTCCTTAAATGGTGGCTAGCCATGAGAATAGAATTATTATACCTGAGAGGGTCTCCAAATCTCAGTAGCCATAATGCATGGATAGTTGAAAAACTGATACTCTTTGAAAAGGTGGGCAATAGCCCTAGCCAATATTAAATAACTCACTTTATTTATACACTAAAACTCTCATGGCATTGATATTGATGAAGTGTGAGATTATATAAAATACTTTTGAATATTCACTTGGTGAATTTTCAGTTTCTGTGGAAGTCTTATATTCAAAGGGGGTGAACATCAATTAGTCTTTTCCCTGCCTTGCACAACTATCAATAACCTTGGCTAAACTGTAAAAGAAAACTGAAAAAGAACATGCTACAGAACCACAAAATAGTCTAGAACCCTGTCTCTGAAAGTCCAACTCTAGTGTGACTGGGGATTAAAAGCCAGTGAATAAATATGGGGCCTTTTCATAGATATCAACTTTACTCCAAGACTTTAAAAAATGCATAGTCATTATATTTATACTAAATATAGGAATACTGTGATTTAAAATGCAATGTTTATATTAAATTTAAGATAGAACTTGAAACTAAAGAAAATTATAGCTTAGGACAAGACTATATTAAGGCAATTGTTCACTCTCTATACTGTTATAACTATACTTGTGTGAAAAAGTTTGAGGCAAAGTGACCTTGATGGTATGTTAAAACCTATTTTAGGGGCTGGGGTTATGGCTCAGCGGTAGAGTGCTCGCCTCACACATGCAAGGCCCTGGGTTCGATCCTCTGCACCACATATAAATAAATAAAATAAAGTTATTGTATCCAATTACAACTACAAAAAATAAATATTAAAAAAATATTTTCTAGGGCTGGGGATGTGGCTCAAGCTGTAGCGCGCTCGCCTGGCATGCCTGCGACCTGGGTTCGATCCTCAGCACCACATACCAACAAAGATGTTGTGTCCACCGAGAACTAATAAATATTAAAAAAAAAATTTAAAAAAAAAAATATTTTCTAGATGGAGATGGATGGTGGTGATGATTATACAACATTATGAATGTATTTAATATCACTGAATTGTACCTTTAAAAATGGTTAAGATGATAGATTTTGTTATGAGTATTTTACCACAGTTTTAAAAGTAGGGGGAAAACCTTCTACTAAAATCGAATGTTATCAACAAATGAAGATTTATCCCGATAAATTTTTAATTTCAAATACATATATGTTGACCACTATATCCTGTTATTCAGCTCATGAATCATCTCTTATTGTGCTCTTGAAAAGAATGCTTGATTCCAAGGTTTTTAAACAAATTAAAGAAGGTCCCTGTGAAGAAAAACCTTTACTTACCAGTTCTCACGTCTGTAGCTGACAGTTAGCCTGCATTTGTCAGTATACTACCTGTGTTTTTGAAAAAGAACACCCATAAAGAAGCCTGTTAGAAATAGTTCTAAAAGAGACTTTTCATGAAGACCCTACCAGAAAATTTCTAGGATATCCTAAACAAATTAGACAAGCATTTACCTATGAAACTGTTCTTTTACAGGAGAGAAAACTTTGTTGAAAGGCTGAAATTATGGTATATCCTTATATCCTATAATGATACTTATTCAGCCATTAAAGTATATAACAGAATATTTACTTATTTTTATAAAATTTTAATATTTTTTTAGATGTTGATGAACCTTTATTTTTACTCATTTATTTATGTGTTGATGAGAATCAAAACCAGTGCCTCCCACATGCTAGGCAAACTGAGCCACAACCCCAGCCCATAACTGAATATTTACTGATAGGAAATACACACACACACACACACACACAMAAAAAAATAACAAACTGACGTAGGAGTTTAATAACAAAGGGTTGCTGGGTAAGGTGGTGCACGCCTGTAACCCCAGGAATTTGGGAGGCTGAGGCAGGAGGATAGCAAGTTCCAGATCAGCCTCAGCAACTTAGCAAGACACTGTCTCAAAATAAATTTTAAAAAATTTATAAAGGATTGGCAATGTACCCTAGTGGTAAGGCACCCCTCAGTTCAATCCCCTGTATGAATAACAATAATAACAACAAGGGATTGACAGTGATTATTTATGGGTGATGGGATTGTTAATGTTTTTCTACACCTTGCATATTTATATTTATTGTTAACTGCTTCTAATAAAAATTGCAAAAATTCTTTACAACATGAAGTTACTATTTGCTTATTCATTAATTCAACTAATATTTTCAGTATTAAATAAAACAGTCTCTGACTTTTAACTTTTGAGACTAAAAAGAAGGCATGATCAAACAATCCTGGAAAAATTTTCATTCCTCTTTCATTCTCCTGACTTAATTGCCCTGTCATTCTCTCTCTTGTTCATCCAAGACTTTGGCCCTTTGCTTACAATATCTGCCTCTCCTGTACTTTTCTGCCATCATCTACCACTGCAATGTCCACATGTACAACCCGTCAAAAATCCTTGAAGCTCTGATTCCACCAGCTTTTAGAGCCACTTCATTGAGCAACCCATATCCAAAGCCATACCTTCTGATCTCTACATAGCATTTAATCTTCCATATTCCATAGGTTTTCAACTGAACTTCTCACTTCCCTCTCCCCCTCACAGTGTTCCAACCCACCCTTAAACATACACACCTCTTCTCCCCACCTCTTTCCTTTCTCCACTGTTCTATCCCAGTTAATAATACCACCATTGAACTCTACAATGAGATGGGGATTGAGGTTCATTCTAGACCATCTGGGTATCTCTCTATCTCAGACATCAATGGCCTAATCCAAAAGTTCATTATTGTCACTATCAGTGTAAAAGTCATACAAAAATACTTACATTTTTAAAAAAAATAGTAATAGAAGCGTGTAGCTCAGTGGTAGAGCATGTGGTTAGCATGCTGCAGGGCCTGGCTTCAATCCCCTACACCAACCATAATAATAATAATAATAATTAGTAGTAGTAGTAAGAGTACTTTACAACATTCACCCCAAGTAATTAAATTACAGAACAGTATTACCTTATTAGCAAACCATGAAATTTATAAAGAAACATATATGACTTGTGCTACTCTCAGAATTCAGAAGCCCAAAATGTTTAAAGTAAATGCATCCTCATGGCTATCCTTAGAGTAAGAACAGTGTACCCTCAGATAGTCAGAGAGGGGTTGCCTGACCAACGTACTGAAAGATGGAGCCTTCTATCCCACAAGATATCAAAGTGCAGTTTCCCTGAAGAAGAGAAACAAAGGACAGAATTCAATAATGGATGACATTCAGTAATGCTAATATGAAAAAACAAATAGGAGCCTTCCATGGTAAATTCAGAAAGGAGATGGGAAAAGAAGTATATTGTTAAGGGGCCTTCAGAAACAATGCCACTAATCATTCCTAATTGGTTTTTTTCCCGTTTTTTCTTTAATACACATGTATTGACAGTTAAGAGAAAATGTTCAAATTCGAGTTCAGGGGTTTAGTTTTAAGGGCAAATAAAAACTTGTGTACAAAGTATTTTTTACATCAAATGGATTATAAGAAGCCTTGAATTTTAATAACCGTATCTACTAGCTTTTTTTAACATCTAAATGATTTCAACTGTATATAAAAAGAAAAAAACTTTGAGCATAAAAAGGTACTAGAGGACTTCTATTTAGTTACATGCTGTAAGAGTTTCTTTTTAGAAAAAGGTTTCACATCTATTGTACTATATTAGTAGTCTTTAAGTTCATTAAATGTATTAACAAGTCATGTCCACTTTGGGTTTTGCCAATAGCATAAATATCTAATTACTAAAAAAAAAACTGTTATAAAAATACATCTTCCAATAAAGAAGGAAAGTTCTTTGATTAAATATCTATGATATCTTTCTACACAGTGGAAATTAATTTAATCTTCTGCTTCATATCAGACCTATCTTATTTTTTAAGTTTCTTTAAAATTGGGTTATACAGGGCTGGGGCTATAGCTCAATGGTAGAACACTTGCCTTGCATGCGTGAGGCACTTACATGCGTGAGCACCACATAAAGATAAATAAATAAAGATATTGTGTCTATCTACAACTAAAAAAAGTATTTAAAAAATAGATTATACAGTCCATATATATTGTCCAGAGTTCACTGGAGCAAAAAGTTAACAGTATGGGGTCATCAAATAAATTAAATGTTAACAGCAAAAATTAAAGGACTAAATTAAAAACATAGGGCCTTAATCCTATATGATGAAAATAAGTAAGGAAAAAGTATTCCCACAAGAGCTATAAAGTGCTCACCTATTTAAAATAAATTACTTCTTCAGAGCTGCCTTAAAAGGTTAATTTGTTTTTAAACATGTGAGCATTTCTTAGCCAACAGGGAATGTGATATATTTATTTTCTTATTTCCCCATAGATTTGTTCTATAAGAAATAAATTTTATATATTAAGAATGTAGCATAAGGCTTAACTATCTTATACAACTGGTCACATATCCTCAGTTATATCACTGAGAGACCAAGAGAGCCTCAATTTTACTTCTGTTCATTAAAAATAAATAAGAAATGAATGTTAATACCTGATTCCCTGTTCTCAACTTCCCAGATAGGCTTAATCCCAAGTCACTTAAGTCTCAAAGGAAGTCATGAGGTATATATAATTTTATAAGTTTTGTTTTTGTTTTGGGAGGTTGGTTTGTTTGTTTTGGTTTGGTTTGGTTTGTGTCAGGGATTGAACCCAGGGGTGCTTAACCACTGAGCCACATTCCCAGACTTTTTATTTTTTATTTTGAGGCAGGGTCTTGCTAAGATGCATAGGGCCTTACTAAGTTGCTGAGGCTGACTTTGAGCTTGTGTTCCCCCTGCCTCAGCCTTCCCCCTGCCTCGCTGGGATTATAGGTGTGTGCCACCACACCCAACTTACAAGTTGCTTTTATTCAACATAAAATTTAACTGTTCAGTTTTCATTTGATAAGTTGCCAAGAGCAGATCAATTTCCATTATTAATTAATTCTTTTTATTATCTAAAATTGTTCCCCAAATAGAAGAATTTCAATAGGTAACACAAAAAGTTAATATCAAGCTTTGGTATACTTCATGCCACAATATGATATATGTCATATCATCTGGATGTCACTTTTACAAACTAGAACATAACCAGGAGAAGGAAGCCAAGAGGGTAAAGGATTTAAAATCATAAAACAACTAAAAAAATAAAATATTAAAGAAAACATTAGAGTATATTTGGGGGGTTGGGATTCATGACTAGAAATAACAAGTTATATTTAAAGAATTATCACAAATAGGAATAAATTTGTTCTTAGTAGCCTCAGGAGACATTTGGACTACGGGTGGGAATAAGAAAGAGGCATGTTTTAACTCCTAATATTATAAGATTCCAAACCTGAATAGGCTAAATACCCTTTATTAAGCTCTTATGAAGTTCACATTATTTTAAAAGCATTGTTTCAAAACACTGGATTCATTTTATCCTAGCCAGCATTTTCATACCAATTTTAAAAAACTAGATAACTTTATACAAATAGATTTATCCCTTTTCAGGTATCATTATTGATAGAGGGTAAGAAGTTCACACTTACTGTAAATGACTTTCAGTTAATTTGATTTGTGGTCAGGAACATGGAAGCAAGACAAATCATCCAGGGGGGGAGATCTCAAAACAAGCCCATAATCTTAACAGAATTTGAGTTTAAAATGCTATATAGGAATCTGCATTTCTAAAAATTGGAGTTATAAATTTCCCAAAATGGAAGTACATTCTCAGATGCATGTGTAAATTTTTCACCCTGTAAATATCCTTTAAAAATCGCATAAGACCCTAAGCAACTTAATGAGAAACTGTCTTAAAATTAAAAAAAATCACATTAGAGAAAAAGTGTCTCTTTCATAAAACATTTATGGATGATAAAGTATTTGGATTGATCTTTCATTAACAAGTCTATCCAACTACAAATAAATATTTTAATAAACACTATGTTCTCTTAAGCTAATAATTAAAGCATATACATATGTACCATGAGTAACCTCTAAGGAATATATTTTGTAATTATTTTCTTCATGTGTCAGTTAGCTACAGTGAAAAGAAATTATCCAAGTTATTTGGAAAAAAAAAAGAAATTGTCATTATCTAAAATAAATCTCAAGTTTTTCATTTTAAAAAGGAAATGTAGATGGGTAAATCTGTAGGAAAAACTCATAACATTCCTACCAATAAATTTCATTAAATGTTGTACAGGTATATAATTTCAGTAATAAACTAGATGCTACATATATTAAATACTTATTGTCCATCTTGATGTCTGACACTTTATAGAACTTTTTTAAATATATATATATATATATATTTTTTTTTTTTTTTAGTTGTCAATGGATCTTTTATTTTATTTATTTATATGTGGTGCTGAGGATCGAACCCAGGGCCTTGCATATGTTAGGCAAGTGCTCTACCACTGAGCAACCCCTCACCCCTATAGAACTTTTTAAAAGATTTTTAAAGTACTTTTATGAATTTGTTAAACAAAAAATACAGAAAAACACTTAGATGTTATTTTATTTTATTTATATTTTTATGGACATTAATCCATTCAAGAGGGGGAGCCCTCATGACCTTTAGGTGGTATCTTAAAAAGTAAAATATGCACTTATTACTACTACAGCCACACACCAATCCACAGAAAATRGTTGTTTACATACTGTATTAGTGTCCTCTTGCTATAAAATTACCACAGATTACTATAAACTTAGTGGCTTAAAACAACAGAAATTTATTTTCTTATAGTATTGAAAGTCAGAAGTTCAAAATGAGTCTTAGCTAGGGGCTAAATAAATAAATAAAGGTCCATCAACAACTAAAAATATATATTTWAAAAAATGAATCAGCTAAAATTAAGGCATATGCAGAACTGTGATCCTTTCTGAAGGAGACTTAGGAAAATAAATTTTCTTAGGAAAAGAAGTTTTCTTGCCTTTTTCAACTTCTGTAGAGCTTACAAGCTACCACTTGGCTCCTGGCCCCTTTCCATCCTCAAAGACAGCAATGGCTAGTTGAGATTTCACATCTCATCACAGCCACTGACTTTTGCTTCCCTCTTTCACACTTAAAAGACCCTGTAATTACAGTGGATCTACTCAGATAATCAAGATAATCTATTTGTAGGTAGAGTAGCAGCCTTAACTTCTGTTCTCAATCTGAATTCCCTCTTGCCATGTAGCATGACATAGTCAGATATTTCCTGTAGGCCATTATTCTACCTACCATATTTATGATTAATTTTTCCTTTAGTATTCTTCATGACCCATATGGACTCATCTGTCTCTGAAACTGTATGCAAAATATTCAAATATGCACATTATTCTAGAGAGAGAGTTTATAACTTTCAACAAAATTTCAAAGTTTAAGAATCATTGGAGCCACGCCCAGTGGCACATGCCTGAAATCCCAGTGGCTCCCAGAGCTGAAACAGGAGGATCATGAGTTCAAAGCCAGCCTCAGCAAAAGTGAGGCACTAAGCAACTCAGTGAGACCCTGTCTCTAAATAAAATACAAAATAGGGCTGGGGATGTGGCTCAGTGGTCGAGTGGCTCTGAATTCAATCCCCAGTACGACCCTCCCCCAGAAAAAAAGAATCACTGGATTCACTCATAGAATATCAGTGTTTCTTAGAAGAACAGTTTGGCTAATGCAACATTATAGATATGCTTTCTAACATATACATTAATAATAACACCTTGATATGATTTGAAAGTTTTTTCTTGCATTGTTCCTTGTTTTTTAAGTAATCAAAATCATCCAAATTATATTTTATATCTTGCATTTATAAGCAGTTTTCCATGTTACTGTGTATCATCTTTTAATGATGCTAATAGTACATGGAGTAAATTTTCCACAATTTAAAATAGATTCTTCCTACAATTAGACATTTCACTCCCCTTG